CATTGTTAGTTTTTTCTCCTGGTTTTGTAGAACTTTGTGCCAAAATACTAGTTACAAGTATTACATCTGTGATATCTAGTTACTTTTACAGTATTCACCAAGCTAGATAACTTTTCAATCCAGAAATATTCTCATTTCCTCCTGGCTGCAGTGTATAAAATGATATTTGACAGTTGTTTCTTTTGAGTGCCGCAGGTAGAGAAAACGCTCTTGAGAGATTTTGGCATATTATTCCTTTCACTGAAAAGGTTAAAAGACACTACTTTCTTCATGTGAAGCTTGGAATAAATTAATGTCCTGGTTTGAGGTAGAACAGAACCAATCATCTCTCGTTCATTGAGTGCCCAGCCCAGCCCAAACCATCACAATTATTTTGGTTTCATTCTGTGGATTCAGTGAGGTATTTAGGTGCTTAATTTTTTTTAAGTATGAAGGACAAATTATTCTCTGAATAATGGCCCAAGGCAGCAAGGAATGTCTATTCCTACAACACATTTTTTCCTGTGCAACCACAGCCTGTTTCTTTCAAGACACCAACTAAAAAAAGAGACAAGGAAGCTTATTAAATTCTTGTTAGAGGCACTAAAACAGCTGTACTGTGTAGTCTAAGAGTTCCCAAACCCATTAAGGAGCTAATGTTTTTTAGAATTTTAAAAAGGAAAATACAGGTAGAAAACCCTTGCACTGGAGTGAGATTAATAGACATTAATACAAATATCTGACGCCTGAAGCAGTACTTTAGATTAATCCTATCATTAATGCCAAATATTTTTTTCCCTTTAAACAACTTTTTAAAGAACAGTTCTCAACAGCCTGTAGCATTAAAATAAAGAACTAGCAATTATAAGTATTGTATATACAACTGTGTTTCCCAGACAGTTGCCTAGGAATATCTTGCCATCTGCTGGACATGTGCAGATATACATGCTCAAATAAATACAGGCTTCAAAGTTACTGTCAGAGACAACAGTACAATGAAATAATGAAGGAGACATTAAGTTTGGAAACCAACACTCTGGATGTTCATAACTTTTAGTGAAAAAGACAATTCAATAAGGAGGCAACTTCAGACAACTAGGCTGCAGCAGTTGAAATGCCAACATTAGATTCCTTAGCAAATCAGTGTTCTCCACTGCCACTATAAATCTGTTGAATGCAGTATAGTACGTGTGAAGCCAGATTATCACCACGGCCCTACCTGTATAAAACAGGAGTACCTCCACTGCAGATGAAGTGATGGGATAATAAGAGAAGCTAATACAGAACCTGAGATCTTGACACATTTCACTAACAAGTCTCTGCAAATTAGGCAAAACTAGCAGCTCCTGGCTAGTATTGGCTACTGTTGATCATGGTTGCTAACAAGCTACACTGACTTTCTCTGACAGGTCTTCAAATCTAGGTGTAGTGGACAGCACTACTAGAACTTTTTATTAAGCTGAGGATGGTTTAGTAGAAGATAAAAGTGCAATGCCCTGCCATCTGGAAAAAAAGGGGAAAAAAAAGAAAAAAAAAAAAAGAAAGCTCAGGAATACACTCAGGATTTATAGCTCTAGGACAACAAAAGTTGATTGTATTTCAAAAACAATATGCTAGAAACAATGATCGTACAATATGTTGCATTTTCAAACCTTATTAGCTAATGCACAGAGCAAAGCTGACATCCTCTCCAAAAAATGCCATCTGCCCAGAAGTGGGAAGTATCTATTAAGAAATTCAAGTGTTTAAACAGTCTTGTAATATAAGAAAATACAAAACAACTCAAAATAAGACTTCTAAAATAACAGCGTCAGTATTAAGTGATCAACTACAAAATACCTCTGCAAGATGTAAAAATATTATTGTTGAGATATTCTTCAAGCACTGAAAATGTACCTAATCTTTCACCCTCTGCAAGTCGTGCTAGGATAAAAGAACAACAATAAAACACAGAAACCCTCAAATCACAGTTCTGAAGAACTGCGCTACCTTTTATCTCCCAATCCAACCACTCAAGGAGCTGAAGTCATCTAATTAACGTGACAGGGAGATCAAAGTCTAGCTTGCCCTGGAAGAATTATGTTTGTAGACATATCTTATATAATGTTCTCCATTTTAAGCAGAGGAAATCTGGAACACATGAAGATTTAAGGGCCCATTTTGAAACCATATTGATAGTTCCCACTAAGATAAAATTAACAGTGGAGGCAGGAATAATTCAGATTAAAGACTGATAAATGAAGCATTTCCTTCATGATGTCAGAGAAAACACTGATAGGAATAAGTTTTGCCCCTTTACTGCTACTTAAACTAGTGTTAACTATTATTTATTTGTATTTTGGAAGATTGTAGAAACACCAAAAGGCGGCTCAGGGGTACAGTGATGCAAACTCACCAACACATACACACCCACTAACACCCATAATGATACTGTGAAAGTGCGAAATGCTGTCTAAAAAGAACTTTGTGTAGGTGTACACAAGGTAATAGCAGGAGACTAAGGATTGATTTTTTTTTCATTTTCAAAATACAGGTTATGACTGCTCAACTCCAGGAAGTAAAAAAAAAAAAAAAAAATCTAATAGTTGTGACACCTTGATTTGGTTTATTTTTCAAATTTGGTGGGTTACTGTCGCCCAACGGCAGATGTAAACAGATCAACGAAAGCCTCAGGCAAAGTTTTGCTTGGATAGCTTGTTTGCCTGGAAAATCGTTTTAAGATACACAAGGAAAATAGCTGTTTGGCCAGTTAAAGTAGCATTTCCACTAGAAGACTCTCTGAGGTAACTAACCCGCACCTTCACCTGAAGAACAGGCAAAGCCCCGATCTCCTCCTTTGCTTCAGCCACAGCCGAGTCACGGTTTGAAATCAAAAGATCAAAGTATCATTAGGAAAAAGAACAACTTCATAAAGCTAAGGGCATTAACCATTCCACAGACTTGCTCTTGTGAAGCTGTGGTTAATTCAACTCTGCTACAACCTGTTACACAGTTTTTCTCTCTCCCCTCTGGCCTGACCACTCAGAAGTCAGCTATTGTTTGTCTTTGTCATTTTATATCCTCTTTATTACCTTGGCCGAGTTTTCCCTGCTTTAACAATTTGGAATGAGACCTTTTAAGGCTCGATGCTGTATTTTACCTCACGGAGGGTTATATTCTTGTGGAAGTGAGTTTTTCAGGAAGGAATTCTGACAGCTTCGGGTGCGGCTGCCAGGACACAGGGCCGGGGGTGCTGACAGGCTCTTTGTTTTGAGGGGGCGGGCTTTTTTTTGTTGTTGTTTGAGGGTGGTTTTGTTGTTTTTTTTTTTTTATCATGAGCTACCACTAAGCAGTGAATGCCGGTAATTCCGGCATCGGTGCAACAACTCCAGTAAAAATCGTACTCCAATATTTTATCAGTTTTGTCATTGTGTCTGGGAGATGCAACTATAGCACCTGCCCAAAAGTAACAGCAACTATATTTATAAGGTGATCCTTGACATGTCATCTAGTTAGAAAGGCATTTCCCCCCCCC